AAAGTAAACGCAAACGGTTCGAGTCGATCGGACTACAGTTCCGAGGGCTACGCCGTCTTCACCGCGTCCCGCCTGCGCCGTTTTTTTGTTACAGCGTTCGTGGATTGTGCGCGCGGTTTCGAAAACGTCTCGTTAACAAAGTATAAACCTGAGGTCGCTACTACACCGGGGTCGTCCCTGCCGCACGCGAACTCGCCGCACAGCGCCAGACGGAGACGGAGACAGTGGCGCGCGCAGGAATCTTCAATGGGAGCCGATCGTTGGCACAACGGAAATCGCGCGCAAAGCGTAAAATCGCCTTCGCCACCCAACTCGACCGCGCGCGGATTGGCGGTTCGAAAACCGGATCCTAAAAATAAAAATGAAAGCCGATTTCTAATGATTCGCGTTTCGATGTTAGACAACAGCTCGTATTTAATTATTATTATTTTTTTTTTGTATTTTTAAGCCGATAGCGCGCGGCGTAACCCGCATTGTCCTCCGCCGTCCCCGGGCCCGCGCCGCCGGAGACGCACGCGGACGCGGCGTCCTTCCGTTAACGACCGCAGACAGCAACGTCGACCGGCGCGCGACGACGGGAGAACACAAATGCCCCCCACGCCCCATCACGACGGCATTTGCGTCACCGACCGCGCGCCGTTGCCGTCGCCGTGAAAACGTTCGTTTAACGTTCCGGGGCGGCGCGCGCTCGGTTCTCGAATGGCACGCCCGCGGAAAAAACGTCACCGCGTCGCGCGGCCGTTCGACAGCCTTCCCGGCGTACTCGCGTACGGACGAGCGTGCACGCGCGCATATTATCGCCGTACGATACAATTGTGTATGACAATCTCGATTCGGTGCGTACGACACGATCGAACGTACGGGCAATACAGTGTGATAACGGTGGTGACCGGTAACGCGCCGGCGTGGGCTCGCGATACAACGACGGTAATCGTATTATCGCTATTGTCGTATGAATCGGCAGCGATGAACTTGAAACGCGGCCGATGCGAATGTTAATATCGAGAGAAAGTGAAAAAAATTATAATAAATAATATGCGTAACGATCCGAGTGTGGGTACACGGCGGGTATGACAATGTCCAGTATTATTGTTCGTATTGTGATTATTGCGCGCGCAGGGTGCCGCGCTATTGTCGCGCACCGGCGATTGTCCGCGGTGACGACGCGCGAATTCGATGTCGGCCGGTTTTTTCCCGTCTCAATACGGACACGTTTCTCGGCCCGAGCGCGGGTCGACGGTTTCCGAGACGTTTTTACTGCAACGCGAAAAGTATGACGCTGGTTTCCGCGGTGACCGCGACTATTGCCGTAAAACGTATATTATCCACGGTTCTAACGGTAATGTGTTTTTCCGTGTAACCGGGAAAATAAGCGCATTTTTTTTTTTTTTTTTTTTTTACGATTAACACCGACACTTTCGAAATAATTATAACGAATTTGATTTTCAAACTGTACTTTACGTATATTTTTAAGTATCAATATCGCAATCGAAAAGGGAACATTTGTCTAGAAAACCGTCCCTAGTGTTCTCTTTTCGAATCGGAGTTTAAGAATATTACTGTTTCTTCTGCTTATTAAGATAATAATAACCTTCGGGACACAACTACGCTTCTGGGCAAGGCCGTAACTGGAAACATTTTTTTTTTTAACGTACGGGTATAGATACCGGACACTCATCATTTTTACGTTAAAAATTTAAAACCTCTTTATTATCGTTGTTGAAAACATAATATTAACGAAAATATAAAATTATTCTTTACACAATTTTAGCGAATAAACTACATTCACTGCTAAAATTTGACTGCTTTTAAAAAATGTCAGTAGAGGGTCTGGACCCCTGGACCCCCCAGTTACGGCCTTGCTTCTAGGACTACGCCTTCACGCCTCGAACCGTCCCTATCTGACGCTGTTGCTTTCCAGTCTAATCCAGGATTACATATGATTAGGATTAGGAGAATTAGTAAACCTCATAGTTTTTCCACGCATTTCTCGATTAGGGTCTTTCCGCTTCGTTCTCGGTTTTCCACGGGATATTTTACCTGTCGACTACGATACGACACGAATTACCCGTTCATTGCAGTCTCTAACGTCTAATGGGTTCTACGATTTTCGGTTTCCGGTACACCGTGGTTCCAGTACTTATAATTGTTTTATATTCACCGTCACTCGTCGGTCTCGGTATCTTTTACTACGTTTCGTATTTCCATTGTCATTTTACTTTTAAACGAGTTTTTTTTTTATCGAGTTTTCTTATCGGCCACAGCTCTATAAGTATGTTAATTCAGGTGTTATCACGGTCGTTAATTCTTTAGATCTCTATAGACAGCGATCGCGATCCTAACAGTTTTGCTAGCCCGGAGACAATTTTTTTTCCAGTCCGGATTCTAACTTCCTATACCGTTTCATTAGTTTCTGATAGACTCGTCCTTTGAACTGTGCCACTCTGTCGCGATTGCGTTGATTTAATTGGTCTTTTTTTTCGCGTTGTTTCGGTTTTCTACACACACGTATATTGTTTCGTTCTCGTTGTTTAGACTTTGCTACATTTGAAAATCAATTGAGTCTACGGAATTGAGAGGGACATGCCGAAAATAATGTTAACGCGACACCACGGAGTTTTTAATGCGCGTCTGGAGATAACTCGAAAAACCAATTCGCTCGCAAACCTCCGCTGGTGTACATAATATATTGGACAATCGAGGATAAAACACAATCACCCTGTATTTATAATACCGGCCGCAACGCGATATCGCACAATAAAATTTGTTACGCGTTCCTTGAATTTTTTTTTTTTTTTTTTTCTCTCCGTATTATAATCTTCAACAAATCGATTGGACGCACTTCCACTTTGGACAATTCAAACAGGCGCGCGCGTACGCCACATATTTTGTATGTTTACCCGCGCGTATTGTACCGGCGGCCGCGGTACGCGTGTAAATATTTCATTTTTACCGGGTTCGTATTCTTATATTCGACCAAACAAAATCGTAATATATGCGATATTATTATATTGTACGATATGGCGTAACGTTTTTTTTCTTTTTTTCTCTTTACCTTGACTCGTACCCACAATGTTGTGCCCGCGATCAATATTAATCAAATATTTTATGTATAATATCGTAACATTTTCTACGATAGTAATGATAATAATTGATACCTTAAACGGAACAATTCGCGTAATAACGCGGTACACACTCGTACGTTTACACAAATACTGTACACGGGTACCGATCGGCGTCGATATTATATCGAATCGATTTATTCGTTTCGATATGCGCGTGCGCACACAGGACGCGTGCGTGCGTGCGGACGGTATAGGCGTACCAAAAGACATCTCTGACCGCGCGATGTTGACTTGCAGTTATTATGCGCGCGCCGTGTATGCGTAGTGATTTTGTTTTTTTTTTTTTTATTCAATCCCCTAGTCTCGCGTCGGACGGGAGTGTCGATATCTATAATACCCGCCCGTACACGTATGCCCGTTCTGACCGCCCGCGCTATTAATTGACTCGAACGGACGGCGGCGGCGGCGGCGGCGATGATGGTAACACAATCGCGTGGGAGTGAAGTGCCGCGCCGATATAATGCTTTTTATAATGTAATAATATTATTAAAAAGGTTCGTCCGTGGGCGTACAATACAACGCACTCCGGCGCGTATTGGAAACATACCCGGGCGCGCACGCACGCACACACACATACACACGCACGCGCGTACGCACACACACACACACACGTACGCACACGCGCATTGAGTAGCGCCCGACGTTTGTCTTCGGGATTGACCTCACAGCCGCGGCCGGCCGGAACCCGTACGGGTTGTCAGAGCGCGCGCGCGGACGAAACAATAAAACCGATACCGCAGCGGGCGCCCGTATCGTACTCTCTTAAAAGCCGCGCGCGGAACGCGCCGTCGTCGCGCAAACGCCGCGGCGTCCCCCGCGCAACAACATCGCGTTTTGCCGTCGCCGCAGCGGATGGGTCACGCGTACGCGTACACGAACGTTCGCGCGCCGCTCCTTCTGTGCCGACGAAACTGCCGGTGGATCTCGACGCGAGTACGGTTTCGGCGGCGCCCGCGGTGAAAATCGGTAGGGGCCGTCGCGCTCGCGCGTGCCCGCTGTCTTTTCGATTACGGGACCGCAAAGAGAACAACGTTCTCAACGGCCGGGCCCCGTACGGCTTCTGAAAATCGATCTTTTCCAAAACGTAACCCCGTAAATTTTTTTTCGTACAACAATTTTGTTAGAAATCCTATTGGATTGTTGAATTTCAAATCTAGCCCGTGAATAAATAATCGATTATTCGATTATTCGAGCAGTTTTCATGATAATTGGCGAAACCCGGTAATGAAAAACGGAAAAATGTGTGGCTTCTTTTTCATAATAATCGATCTAAATTAGATATGTTTACCAGATTTTATAGAATTGTAATACGAAGACCGTAAAGGTATTGAAAACTCGTTATTTGAAAGTTTAAACATTCAAAAACTCATTCTTAATTACACCACGTATGCATACACAACATTTTATCGGTTCATCCGGCTAGCTTCATTTAGGGAGCCTGTATAGGTGTCCAAAATCAAAAAAAAAAAAAAAACAACCTCCTCCCACAACAACACGGTGAAATTTAAATCTAAATTCAATTCAAATATTATTACTGCTATCCGCTTATAAATAGCTTAAAATTCCCGAGTTTCAGCTCACTTTGATTCAGGAGGACCCGCTCAAAGTGTCCAAAAAGTATATTGAAAAAATATAATATATACATATATATATATAAAACAGATAAAATACAGTGCAATAGTATCTATTTTCCACAAAAAATAAATAATACCGTTGGTCACAGACCAAAAATAAAAAATCTGTTCTTTGAACCTAAAAATTGAAAATTGAACATTCCAATTAACAATTATATACTATGGTAATTCTTTATTATTCAATCGAGATATCAATACAAATGAATCAATCGAACAAATTATTAGAAACATTAGAAAAATCTTAAATATATAAACACGTATAATCAGTTATTTTTGAGTTCCATAAAACTATCAAGTTGAGCGTATAATTCGTCTTTGGTTGGCGCTTGTTTTTAAATTTTCCCGGTATCTCGGACACTACTTCTGGATTTACCACGGTTATTGTTTCCACGGAATCCTCTGACGTTAATTCTACGCTGAATTCCTATATTAAAACAGACGTCAAATAGCAATATCGTTATACCGAACAACAAATAAAAAACACGGACATACATCGCACATGGGTGCAGCCATTGATGTAGGTGGGAAGGTGGGATGGTAGAATACTAAAGGGAATTTAATGTATATCTGTAAGCAACGATAAACCGTTGCCAATAACAAAACGATTCTGAGCGGAGTTCAGTTGATAATGTTGCGTTGTCAACAATGTACGTTTCCACGACAACAATGGTTGTTTAAAAAATTAAAATAATAAAAACTCAATAACAACACAAAATAAATAAAAACGATTGCCTTATTTTTAATCTTTCAATCTTTTTTTAAAAACCCTGGGTCAAAGATTAATGAGAATTTCAAATAATAAACTCTTTAAAAGTACCGCCCGGAGGACTTTTCCTTTCAGAATAGGTGTTATACTTGATAATCGGCATAAGCTTTCTGGTAGAAAGTGTTCACATAAAAAAAAATAAAATTCATAACAAAACCAATACATTCCTCGGCCCAGTCAGAATTCAAAAACATATTAAAATATAAGCAGTTACATACCATCTCCACGAGTATTTCTTTCGGAAATTGTTGCTGATCTACTGAGATATAAATTATAATTCATAATGTTCAAAAGATTGTCGATTTTTATTTTCATACGACGATCTAAAATAGTCGATTAATTAAACAATAAAACATAATTATATTATTTACGTATTAGAAAATATTTGTATTGTATAAATACCGTTGAAGGGTACGTTATACCATTCTTGAAATGACTTTAATTCAGAGTTTTCAAACCTCACACTGGCTGTTCTCAAAAATTTACCACATTGGTCATAGTGAAAGTCCACTGACTTTAGTGGCCCGAATTTGTAAAATATATCCTTTAAACATATATTTTTTATTAAAAATGAATTTATTTCATAACATCGGACAGATATTCAAATAGTTTAGAATACTTAACAAGTCACAGATGCTACTATATAAACTATAAGGAGAAAATATGCAATAACGTAAAATGAAGTTTCGGAAGACTGATTTAGTGATACGAAAATTGTCTTGATGACAACCAAAAATAAACTATTATGATGCTTATTAACACTTTCGTAAATACATAATATTATTAGGCCATAGATCAGTGGCGTATTTACCGGAGGAGTACAGGGAGATAAATCTCCCCCGTTGATATTTTTTTTAGTAGCTATTATTTATACGTATAAATTAAATTCGAATTTCTTTACTTTTTAGAAAAAAAAATAAAAATTGTGTTGGCACCATGTAAATAAATCAAAAAAAGCTTGAACGTACGTACGTTTCCTTGTTAAAAACGTTACCTGTCCGAACCGCTTTGGTATAAAGAACATTCTTCTTCTCCTTATTCTTAGAATAGTATAAACAAACTAATTAATAATCATAATTGCTATAATATTTCAATGGTTATTGATTAATCGAATTATAAATTGCTTACAAAAAAATATTAAAATTGGATCTTTTTTTATTTATTTTACTCTAGGTACACAGGTATTGTACAATATTTCCAAATTCAATATCTCGCTCCTTATTGGCAAAATCCTAAATACGCCACTGCAGATTGACGATCAAATCATTAAATAGAATAATCAAAGAACTAAAACAAATTTATTTATTTATTCTACGGACTTTAACCAAATATAATAATATGACAACCGGTGACACAACGGCAAGGGAGAAATTGCAAGTTAGACAAATATATTTAACAAGCATTTGAGAACGTGAGTAAAGAAAAAAAATATCGAAAATAATTTGTCATGTTGTAATTACTAATCCAACCTGTATTTTTCCAACCGTGACTCTAAAGTTTATGTTAGACAAATGTATTTTGAGATTTTTGTCGGGAAGTGCGTTTGACGTTTTTTTTATTTGTTGCACATTACACAGCGTTCCACGCTCTGGTGCATTCATGTCACCCTGTAATAGAAATAAATTAAAATATTTTACTTTTATATGAAAATGGTATGATAGGTATCGAACAAATACTGAAATATTAAATTTGCCGGTAACGTAAGTATAAAATAGTGGTTATTCTAAAACAAGTGCGGCGTGTACTAATTATAATCTGTTTTAAATTCGATAACAAATTTGTCCTGGGATTTGCCATCGGTCGTGCACGGCTCGTGAGTATAATATTTCGTTTGTTCGGTCAAAAGCGACTTCGGCGGCGATTTATCGCAACAAAACGACGTTAACAGGTATTCCGAATAAAAAATACGGCAAGTACGGCAAATTTCGGATAACTCGCGTGCGTTTCTTACCTTCGCGTACGGACTGAAGCGGTACGGGCGCCTGTCCCGCGTACCGGCCTCCGATTTTCCGCCGCATTCGTCTGACCGAAATTTCGATCCTCTGTACACCCTGCGGCAACCATTGTCGCCACGGTTATGCTGTTGGCCGCCGAACGATGCCCGCCGGCCGTTGACGGTCTCTTCCGAACTACCGTCCATTGTCGACTGACGCGAGAATACGCGGAACGGCGAATAATTGTAAGGAAATTAAATTATCGCAGTCACCGATAAGCCGAATCGAGTAAACTGCGAGCGAAAATAACGGAGACGGAATACTTTTGAACAACGCGGTGGTCGTGTCAAGAGAGTCCGCAACGATAAATTGTCAAATTGTCATGCGAAACAATAACGAACGAACGAATAATAAAATGTTCTACGGAAACCGCGCTAATCGCGTTATACGTTTCCTCGGCAGCCGGCTGCTTAGCGACGTGTGTTATACGAACGGGAGAGTATAATATTGGGCGACGTAAACGGACCACCAACGGTTCAGACGCAAAGACCAATAATCACTTAGACATTATTGTAGTACAGTACTGTGCACTGAGCGCGTACCTATTATTAGAATTATTTCCGTAAAGTCTAGTCGAAGGGGTAGGTCAGTGTATATTACGAACGTGTTAGCTTTCAAACAATACGAGCCGGGTATATTCCGGGCGATCGGTTAGAGGGGGAACTATAGACTCGTTTCGTGTATTATTTTGAATAACCATTATCACTTTTTATTGTAATATATTATATTGAACGTGAAACGCAAGCTACCATTGAAATCTGTAAAACGCCGTAAAAAGTCAACCGGAGTGAAATATGTAAAATTACTAGAAATTACGTCCTACGATAAAATGGGGACGGGTGCAGCCGCCGTAATAGACAATTAAACATATACCCGTAAGCAACGATAAACCATTGCTTATGAAAAACGATTCTGAGCGGAGTTCAGTTGACTGTGTCATGTTGCTTTTTCAACAATATATATGACATTTTTTGGTAAAATAATTAGTAAATAGGCTTTATATATTTTGTTCAATGTTGTACCGATTTTTCCAATTTTCTCAAGTTTTCTCGGTTTTTCACATTTACTGATAAAACTCCAGAGAGAATCAAAAATGACCTCTTTAAAGTACCTCCGTAGTATAATTTCTATTTAAAAACATTGCTATCATTAAAAGTTAGAGCAAAATTGCTGGTAGAAAAGTTATCTACAGTAAAATAAATTGTATTTATAATATTTCAAATTTGTTGAGGAAACTCTTGAGAAAATCGAAAAATGACCTTCTTAAAGTACCTCTCAACACCGATTTCCTTTCAGAAAAGGTGCTACACTTAGAAATCCGACCAAGTTTTCTGGTAGAAAAGTGGTTTACAGATAAAAAAAAAAATATATATATACATCTTTGTAAAACCATAAGCTTCTTCGCTCCACTCAGAATCTAAAATTTCAAAACACCATCGGTATCACCTACATAATCCGTTTTTCGCAATAAAGATGATCTTGACTGTACGTTTCAAAACATCAAAGGAAAATTGTATAATATTGCCGAAAAATCCCAGACCTAATAGTATAGGTACATAGTATAATAATAATAATACTTGTATTGTTCTTTATGCGAAAACAGCAGGTTGTTATAATATTTTCGATCGTAATTTCAAGTCCGAAAAACACCGCTTATAATTATATCGTTCCCGTATTACGGAAAATCAGGTCAAACGACCGCAGAGGAGACTATATATTATAGGATAACAGCGGAGGAGTGTCGGAGTATTGTACGGCTCAACTACTGTATTATTGCGACCGCCAACTGATACCTATATTATATACTTACTTTCACCTACCATAGTTCATCCAGCCCTCCATCGAGCCTACTGTGTTGTCGAGTGCCCCGAGGTCAGGGTATCGTCTGTGGGTGTCCAAAGCCCAAGGCAATATTTAGTAAATATCCACTCTTACTTCTTTAAAAAAACCGAACTCAATCCTCCAATAAACTTTGGAATTTCCATAACCAATTACAATTTAAAAGACACATGATTCGGTGAAGTGATTTTAGAAAATATGTGAAAATTGGTGTTTTACATTTTTAATAGGGTACATTCAATAGTCCCGATAAATGTGACCGCCACTTGATTTTAAAAGTTAACGTTTCCCGTTTTAATTGAGAATTTACCAGTAGTTTCTTGGGCAGTTTAATACACATATTGTAGTTGGTTTTAGAAAGTATACTCTCGCATCTAGTCAGTGTACATCATGGTAATGTTGAAATGAATTAAGTTAGGTCAGATAGATTCGGAAGCCGATATCTGAGGAGAAGACGATGGCAGAACAGCTGACTTACGATAAAATTATGGAATGAAAACCAATAGTTTTTCAAAACATCTAAACCGGGTAGAAGGTAAAATCAATAAACTCGTCCCTATAATCCGTTGTGGGTCTTATTATTATTATTATTTTTATAAATATTTACTATAATGCCTTTATAATATGAAATTATAGATAATATTTGATAAACGATGTCAGTATCGGGGTAGCAATGTTAACAAGGATCATCCGCCACTGTCTGTTCGGACGGACGAGGAAAAACAAGTTGTCCCGATCCTATCATAATTCGTTGGTCGGATTGTTTTTTTCAAAAATTAAAATGCAATTAGGCTTTTTTCACGTAATTATTTTTCCCAAACACGTTTGCGGAGAATGTAAAGCCGTTCCCATTGTCATACGCGTCGTCCATAAGGCAATTTTCAGAGGAGGGTCAAGCTGAAACGAGGTTTCCGGACGAGCGTTGATATTGACGCATGGACAATTAAGAACCCCCGTAAACAATATTGTTTGGATGGTATTATGGTAGGTCCGATGCGAGAGGGCGATTCAATAATTGTCCGGCAGACGTTAATCGACGCTCGGGAAAGACGAGTTTTCGGCGGTCATCGGCGTTTTCCGGAGGGAGGGGGGCGTTTACACATATTGTCGCGGCGGGAACGGCACGGCCTTTTGTCGGTTTCGGGCACGGGGAGCGATATTATAATGTTAATATTGTCTAACAATAATCGCTTCGTCGCGATTTCGCAAAACGAAAAAAAAAACCACCGCCGAAAAGTTTTCCGAGAGACCGTCGGATCTGGGTCGTCTTAATTGGCGGGCGTATTGTTCGGCGGCGGCGGCGGTTTTGCGTCATCGATCCGATTCCTCGGCCGCCACCGCCGGTAACTCGCCGAAAAAACGGGCGCATTGTCCTCCGGGAGGCCCGGCGAACGTTATTTACAGGTGCCTATTATAGGCGTACATAATGTTACCGAGTAGAGTAATACGTCATTGTTATTGTTGTCGACCGATAATAATAAACGTAATGGTAACAATACAACGGTAGGTATATTATGCGTACGGGTACGCGTCGTACGCTGCGGGTACCTGCGCGAAGAACTGCGGCGTGTTTACGGTAAATTATAACCGAAAAAAAACTATAAAAAAAAAAAAAACGATTGTAAACACCGCCGCCGACACGGCGTTTCCTGCCGCGGACACAGCGCGCGCCGCGCACTTTTACTCTCGTTCGGAATCGCCGTGCTCGGTGTCGAAACGCAATCGCGGCCCGGAGCGCGCGGGAGTCTCGGACCGACGCGCGACGACCACGACGTCCACGGCGGCGACGACGACGGAAAATCGCCTGTACCCGGTCGTTACGCGCGCGTATGACGAATCGCCGGCGGTCGCGGACACGGTCGCCTCGGCCGGCGGAAAAGAAAAGTGAAAAAAAAAAAAAATATATATATATATATGAAAAAAAAAAAAATACGATAATAACGTACAATATATTATTATTGTCATAACGGCATGTTATCGGGTCGGAATTTCACGGACCGCCGCCGCGCCTCGAGATCCGCTCGTTGCGCAAAAACCGAGCGCGAGAGGGAAAAACTAATAACAGAAACGCATACGTATAATATCGTTACACCGCGGTCTCGTCGACGCACGGACACACCGACCGGATCGAAAATTCCTATCGGCCGAATTCACGCGCGTTTACGCATTTTACATTTTGTTGTCGTTGTTATTATTATTATTATTATTAGAGTGCCATTATCCGCGCGCCGCGTTATCGCCGCCGATGAAAATTATACCTAACGTACGGGCCGCCCGTTCCGCCGACCGTGTCGCGCATGAGTTGACCATTTTACCGGGCACTCTCCATCATACGCGACCTTTAACGCGCGTCCGCTACCCGCTTCCCATCTCTTCCCTCCCTACCCCCTAGGAAATGAAAAGCCGTCGCTAATATCGAATATTTTCGTACCACACTTCCCCCACCCCCATTCTGGACTCGGTCCTGTCCCAATCGTGACTTTTCCGATTAACGAGTCCGGGACTTGCAAAACTTTAAGCGTTTGCGTGTTTTCTTTAATGTTTCGGGAAATCGCTGTTTACGATCCAGATGTTCGCATTATGTGTCGGAGTTTAGGCGCTATTTTGCTTTTTTCGCACGCTCAGCGCTATTTCACTACCGCAGTCTTCAATATATCATTGATAACAAGTATAACTTGTACAACAGTCTTGGATATCTATACGTTCGTTTGTTTCTTTTAGAGTGCGCTGCAACTCGGTAAGACGGCAATCGTATCGACGAGGAAACCCCTGTAATGTCGTCTCACGTGCGTTAGTATTTTACGTTTCTATAGGTGTCTAGACGTTCCGGTATCATTATTATGATTATTTAATGCGTGTTTAATACGTGTTATCGCATACGTGTTTTTTAAGAGCGCATTATTACGCTTATAACAACCATTTTTTAGAACTATCGAGTTATGCGCTCTGAATAAATAACTATCAATAATATGCTCTTGTAACGAGCCATTTACGAGAGCGAACAAATAAAACGATTAAAACCCAAGAAGGTCGGATGTACGATCCGTCATAATATACGCCATCTTGTCGTGGCGCCATCGTAAGAACTGATCTGAATCAAACGGATCCGGTGTGCTCGTTCCTTTGCAAAATAAACACAAAAAAATAACCATCGCGCGTTATTTATAATTTATTCGATTAACGGCGACGTGCGAATCTCAATTACCATAAAACCGTATAGGGGATATTATTTTAGATTTTAATTAATACGTCCGACACGAGCGACGATTGGAATTCGGACGAAACCTATCCTCCGTGGCGCCCGGAA